AAATTAAATAATACAGTTAAAATTAAATCTCATACGTTTAAAAATATTTAAGTATTGGATATTTTATATTCAAAAATAGTAAATACAATATGTGTAACAATCATACCATAATAATTAAAGAAATTAAACTTAATTAATATTGAATACAAAATATACAATGGAACGATAAACTTAAATTAATATTTTAAAGCTTTTAATGAAAATTTCAATCCATACAATATAAGCAACTCTGAGAAATAAAAGGAATATTTTTCTTTTATTCAAATACACATTTATACAAAATGTATAAATAATAAACATTTTGAAGCATTAAGAGTATTAAAACTTAAAACAGTTAAAACAATGGTGCGAGAAATTTAAAACCCCATTCCAAAGTATCCATTCAACCTACACATATTTTGTTTGGCTCGCATAGCTAAAATAATAATTTTATTATAGTGATTAAGCATCGAGGTATTTATTTTATTTTGTTTGAATATATTCTAAATTGTTTTAAAGCTTAAAGTTTTATTTTAATAAAATGATTGTTGTTCTTCTTTTTTGTTTATTTAATTTGTACCTTAAATATGATAAGACGGTATTAATTAGTAAGTCTTAACCATTTTGATAATAGGTAATATATATTTTGAGAGAACTACAATATTACAATTGAMAAATTTTATTTGTACTCGTATTAAAATTTGTTTTATAGATACCATTAAAATTTATAAATTCATCTATAGTACTCACTTATTTTCAAATATGCACATAACTTATCTATCAACTGTTTTTTTGTTTAAATTGTTAAATTGTTCAAACTTAAACTTTAATGGTTACTGTAGTGATAGGCTTTATATAGCATTGGTATCAGTGTATCACACTACTAAAACATTCATTCTAAAACATTCAGCCAAAGAGCAACTCTTCAAAAAGGTTTATTTAGATAAATATAAATGTTTTTATTTAAATTAAGAATTTATATAAGTGATTTAATTGGAATTCACATCATGCATGACTACTATATGAATCTCTTATATACACATAAATACATAATGTTTGTACATTTGTGCGCGTGAAGGTTCGCTGCGCTTTGCCACCACACATCCAGTAACGCCGGCGGGATGAAACATAGGTGTTGTGGTCCTGCATGCATCAATCGTGTTGATAAATAATCGAAATCTTGTGAGAGGATCATCAGCGATGAGTATGAATAGTATGATGGAATGCCCCTCATCATAATTCAAATACACATACCTACTGTAAACGGCCGCCAACTCGCAATATTCTAGTGACATCCATGCACGGGGTCAGCGACTTCACCTCGCTGCTGGTCCGAATATATGTTGACTTCGAGCTAAGTCGTTCATGTCCTCCTGAAAATGGCGATTTTAAGACCGTTTTATGAGTATAAATTCAGCACTCCTTGAAGCTCGATCGACGTGTTATTGGGTCCATATCTCGGTTCGCTTATATCGTACACGGCAGTAACACTTAAATCTCAAGCAATATGTGATTACGCGTCGGAGTTTCTCTGATTAATAGTACAACACTTCCAGGTGGAGTTCTGTAGATACCTTCAGGGAGACTGTTACCTGGAGGCAGCGTTCATAGATCTCAGCTTCAGCCATGGCAACTTCATGACTATTATTGTTCGCTTGCCTGGAGCCAGGAAGGACCATGCTACCATGTGTCGCAATCTCTTAATTTTTTTTTGGATCTAAGCCTCAGCTGCATGGTCTGCTAGGTTGTCATTGGTCCACACGTGGTACCAACAAATAMTGATGGCGAGCTCTTGAACTTCCGTTACTCTGCAGTTTGTTACCATGGCGATTTTTAATCCACGCCAGGGCCGCCATAGTAGAGTCACTTCAGTCTCCAAATCACATGTTTTGAAAATGTGAGATTTGGTTGAGAGGCGTGATGCCAGTAGTGCAGCTAAGAGCATGTTGTTTTGTCCAAATGTTGATGTTACTGAACGGTCGCATGGTGTCTGTAGTTTATCTTCGCGGTGTTGTCAATATGTAATCAATGTTTTGTTGAGCCGTGCAGGTGTTCTTGGCGCGTGAATTTTTCMAAGATCCTCCGGCGAGAGGTTATTTTGAAGAGACGAATGGTTTGCGCATCATTTGCGGAGTTTGAGTATTTCTGTTAAGTTCCCGTAAGTCAAGTCCCGTGGTTCGCATGCCAATTGCCTAGTTCGATCATCGTTGATGCATCCAAGAAGTAGTGGCGATCGAAGAATTTTTGAAAGGTAATCAATCTGCCGTTTTATTACTCCTCGACGGCCGACGAAATCCCTTAGTTCGGCAGTCATTTAGATCCATCGAAGATGACCCATGTTCAAGTAAGGAATAATTTGAGTGGACTTTAAAAAATATATTTCTGCTCCGTTTGTTAAGAGGATTTGCTACGGAGTAGATGTGCTGTGTGATGCTAAACCCCGCAAGTCTGCCATGGGTGGGTCTTGCTGCAGAGTAGAAAGAAAACTGAAAACTGAATCCCTTCGTGAGCCGCATTTGTATTTATAGGCATGGTCCCGCCCACTGCGTCGCTGTGATTGGTTGTTGCACAAGATAGCACGACTACGATCGACCAGTCAGAGTGCCGACCGACTGAATTCCGATTATTTTGCTATTATGCAACGCATATTTATATTTAATTAATTACTATATCATATTAAAACAGATTGTGATAATATTACCGGAGAATACTTCTCGTGGCGCGAACACATAATATGTATATTATTTATATATATCATATAGGCTTAGCTCTCTCTCAGCTTTTTAATAATGATTAATTTTAAAATATTCATTACCAGAGTCTGTGCTATTAATACAATTCAACAATTGTATATCCCACCTCCCCCCCACGAAGAAAAATATCCCTAGTTATGTCTAAGTAAATGTACGTGAAATAATAAAAATCAAAATAATGTATCTTATTTAATAATAAATAATAAATATTGAATTTTATCCATAGACATTTGTGTCTAACCTAATAAATAAATATATTACAATTTTAATAAATAAAATTTACCTTTAAGCCTAACCTTTAGTTATGATATGTCGTTCAACTATTGGAAGGGATTCCACGAACTTAAGTCCAGTAAAAAAGTCTTGCGAAAAAAAGTCCGATGTCATAAAAGTAGGTTTATAAATATAATATGTATTATGTATATATTTATTTATAAGTTATAATTATAATATGTATTATGTATATATTTATTTATAAGTTATAATTATATGTTTATGTATACAATACTATTATACTTTTATATTTTATATAGAATAGAAGATGCTGGGATCTGGGAGTAGAAAATATATAGGGTAAGATAAAACATTTAATTTTTAAGTAAAATCAATCATATTTCAACTACTTTAGTCGTATATAGTGCATATTGGACTTAAATACTTAATACAAAACATGGGCATTTATTTTATAACTACATTGTTAATATTATATCGGTCATTATATTGACAAAAAATCATGTTATATTTTTATTTTTATTGTGYCYATAATATTGATTTAAGTTGAAAAATGTATACTTATAAATAAATATAAAAAATAAATAAATTGAACTTTTACTCAACGGACTTTTATGTAGCGTTATATTGGAAGGATTGAGGAGTTGTCACTCACCTTTCTATATACATATATAATATGTCCATATTGGAATCCAAGTGTAGTGTAATACTTTATTTTTGAAGTACCTATACCACAACACTAGATAAGTATATAGTACAAAGGTCTTTGGTGAAATGCATTTTATGATATAGGTCTTTTAAATTGGTACTTAACTCTCTTAACCAAACATATTTTTTTAATTAACCAAAAATTATCTTGAATAAATAGCTACAGAGACCATATAAAATGTAAGACTTTTCAAACTACTAAATTCAAAATTAAAGTATAAAATATTTTACAATATAGGTTGAAATCAGTTGAAAATATATTCAAGAGTTTATGGACTAAAAAATTAAATCAACTTTATAAGACATATAATATCACATTAAATAGCTCAAAATTATACCATGGAGTACAATGGTAAAAAATCATAAGGACTTCAAGGCAGGATAAATGAAAAATATACAAATGAAAATTATTTTCATTACTTGGTGAAAAATAAAACATTATAAAATAATAAAATGTAACAAACAGAAACAAAAAAATATAACAAACAATAAAATTAGATTTAAAGTTAGAATAATCTAATAAAAATTTGGAGCAATAAATTAAGATTATGTTTATTAATAATTTTATTTAATTATTATATCTTGTAGTGCATATGTTAATAATTTAGACTTTGGTGTTTAAAAATAAACAAAAACACTGTATTAATGTTTATATCAATAATCAAATATGTTTTAGTTTATACAATAAATGATGGTTGAACTAATAATAACCAGATTCCCATTTTGGATGATAAGTTTCCACAAATCTCACTTCTGACTAGAAATTTTAACAAAACAATTAATCTTTTATTGTTTATAAAAAATTAATTATTGTATTTAATATACATTAAGATTTAACTACTTACCTAGATTGTATTTTTCAAAATCATTAAAAAAATTGTATCTGTTATTAAAGAAATTATTTTAGTTTTAGTTTTTATAAAAGTTAATTTTCCTTCACCAGTATTTGTTATAAAATCAAATCAAATGCTTCATATTTATGGCCACTTATTTAATAATTTCACTTTTTATTATTTCAGTGCAGTTTTAAACTACATCAAACACATAGTTATTCTAAACTCTAATGAGTTATATTTTAAAGCTTATGAATCATTTAGTTGTAATTAAATGATATTTAGCCCATATTCTTACAATTTTACATAATATAATTCTATTTTAAATTCAATAAAAAATATACAACTTAGTTTAGTATCATAATAATTGTTAGTTTAGTACAGTTTGTTTGACTGTTCCATTTTAAGAGGATAATACTTGTATCTCCTTTAATAAAATACTCTATAAAAAACAAGCTCTAGCAAACTTTTTATTTTATTGTTAAACTAATCAAAATATAATCTACTACTACTAAGGAGGTACTCTTAAAATATCCAAAACAAACTTCTTATTATTCATCATATATAAAAATAAACTTTACAATAAATTTAGATTACCTGCTAGCAGCTATATAATTTAAAAAATAAAACAAGTAAATGACCATATACAATTTTTAACAGGTTCATTCATCATCAAATATATTAGCTGTTTTGTTATAGTCCCATTAGACACTCAATACCAGTGCAATCGACCTTTAAAGGTTCACAGTGTTCAACATATTTATTAAATTATATGCAATAAAAAWTTTTTTTGTTTTTTGCATGGCATGCATAGAAAGCAAAAAGTTTCAACATATTAATTAGTGCATTGATACATTTTAGCTACAATTTTTTTTTTTTAGTATGAATAGAACATATTTTTTATATATTTAAAGCAATGCAAATTATAAGATATTATTCTTATTAATTAGATATTTACTTATGGATCTATAGTAAGGTTTTGATAAAAATGTCCAATAATATCAGATTATTTTATATTTTATAATATTATAAAAATGTATAATTCAATATACCTTCAAAAATATATAAAAATTAACCATCACCAAATAACATGATTTTATTTAATCTTAAATAATTTTCCTGTAATAAATATAATATTTTTCATCTTTTTAGCATAATGAAATTTATACTAAACAAAATGTAATGATTTATTTTTTTTCTTCAAAAAAATGATACTTTATTAAAGATTAGAAGCAATTAAAGTGCATGCAAAATACCTTGTAGCATAAAGAAGCAACTCCAAGTCTTACCCGAGTTGGTATTGATGACATGGTGGTTGTTGTAATACCACTAATCATAGATCCATTCATAGAACCTGGAGAACGTTTTGTCTTGTGAATAGCACAATTCGTTGACATTCGACTGGCAGACATTGGCGATTTTGAAACCTTAGCAATGGGCGTGAATAAGCCAAATTTATCTTCACATTCAAAATATCTAAAAAAAAAAAGAAAATTAAATAAATTATTGTAATTTAAAAAAAATTAATAAAGGAGATAATTACTTAATTCCTTCCACAGTTCCATTATTTTTTCCAAGAGGATCATCTAATTCAATACCACACCATTCTCCTGGTGCAAATTGAGTTGCGCCACGATACCTTAGAATTCCCAATTTAGATCCTTGTCCACTGCTGATAATTACACGATCACCAATTTTTAAATCACTGCTACTTTTTGCTATAGGTGTTTGACTAATACCTACAACAAAACAAACATTGCATACATCATACTAACCATCAATATTTAATTATATATATCCATAAAAAAAGAGACAGATAGGYAACTAATGMTGTSTCCTATAATGTTGCTTTGGTCCGTGGATATTATTTTTAACTTGAATTTAATGATATATCATAGTATATGCTGAAAAACATCAAAGATAAAAATGTTATACGTGAAATAAAAAATGTAAAAGTTCAGACATTTAAAAATGTTCTAAATGGCGAAAAATATTTTTCAAATGTTATTATGCCCTTAAAATTAATATTTAAAATATTTGTTGAAAATGTCACGTTTCGATAGTTTTTCCTCAGTATTTTTAAAAGAAATGAGAAATTTCTAAATTTTACCCCTAACCTTTCCACCACCTTTTTGGTGGACTTAGTCTTATTTTTTACTAGAAACATCCTTTGTAGTTTATGATTGRAACATTTTTCTAATAACAAAAAATGACGATTTTTTAAACAAAAATTATGATAAGTATGTCAATAAATTGAGATCTAAGCTCTGCTCTTAACTTTTTTTTCAAACGTATTAATTTATCATTGATTTTTAATTTAAATATGCCCACTTCAGTGAATCAGCTAATTTTCACTTACTTTTTGGGGCAGTTTTAGTAGCTGTTACAGTTGAACCTTGCCGTTTAGGCATAGGAGTTGAAAACCCTAATGGTTTAGTTGCGGCAAATGAATTTTGAACCATTGAATCTTCAACAGAACCCAAAGGAGCAGAAGTAAGATTAGTCAGACGAGCAAATATGCCTCTCTTAGGTCCACATTGAAAATATCTTGTTCCRCCCACGGAACCATCATTTTTACCTAGAATCAAATATAATATAAAACTCAAAATCTTAACTCATGTATTAGGCACCAAATTACCAATGGGTTCATCAAGTACTACACCAGCCCAATCCCCGTTTCCAAAATTGGTTTCACCTATGTATGCGATTTGCCCGGGCTTAGTTCCACCCACCCAAATTCGATTGCCGATGATAAATTTGTCTGTATCTTCTGTAAGAACAACACTGTTTCCTAGAAAATTAAAAGACTTTCTAAGTCATTTTTCAATATATAATTACTCGGATAAACGTGATGTTGTTCGAGTGGCCACGACCTGCGTGTGTACTATATACAGTGATGATTATTTAAATGAAAGCATACATGAAAACATGTTTAAAATAAATATAATACAAACCTGAACTACGTCTTACACCAGCTTCACTTAGTCTACGTGCATCTCCCATGAAAGAATCTGAACCGCCTAATATAAAGCAACATGAAAAAAAACTAAACTACTTTTACACATACACAAAAATGATAAAATGCTGCAACTTACTTGATGATTTGCGCTCATCAGTCGGCTTTTTATTATAATCATTGTGTTTGCTAACATACGCCATGTCTAATAAATTACAAACATAAAACAAAAATGCAACATGCAGAATGCAAATATCATAAGCAATAATAAAGAAATTATTAGTTATAAATTATACTAATGTTATTGTACGCGTTAAGTCATAAAAATACAAAAACSTAAAAATCCATAGTGTATCCAATGTTCATTTGTCATAAGCGTGCGCATAGGGTATGGAATTGTRTGCACCGCAATTTCTAGAAATGGCCCACATAAATCCCTTAGAAATTTCTTTATTCTTCTTATTTTTAGAATTCAAATTTAATAACTTTAAAATATAATTTTTTTTAAATRGTTTGGAAATAGATAGATATTATAGATAAGATTAAAAGAATGTTTAAACTTTAAAAGTTAAAATTTTTTGGAGTTAGTAACAAATTKTATACTTAAATAAGATAGAATATGTGATTTTAATACAGCACCACCTTTTTTTTCTTTTAGAGAGAAGGGCCCATTTATTTTTGGGTAATATTTATTTTTTTTCCAATAAAAATAGCGTACGCCAATATGTTTATACTCTATCGTAAAAATTGTAATAAAAAAAAAAAAAAATGAAAAAAGCTAATAAAATACATATATGACAAAAAGAGATAATTTGGTTAAGGAAAGACAAATGAACCCTAATAATAGCAGTTAAATACTAAAAACTACGAGATAATGAAATGAAACACCACAACTATACTAAACTACTTAATACTTATAATCAGAGATGTTCCCAAAAATTTTTTTGAGAGTATATTATATCATCAAATATGGACATTTAAAAAAATTAAAATATTTTTCTTATGATTTATAAGAGTAAAGCCGGTAAAGAGCGTGTCAATAATATGGAAAAAAAATTAAACCAGATTTTTTTATATATCTTCTTTATATTACGTATATTTCGTCAATCTTAACAAATATTTTACAACAATGATATAATATTGATTATGGTTGAGAGCATACGCAGTTACCCATATAATATTGAAAAAAAATCTTGAGAGTATACGGCATACATGTACCCTATATGAGAACACCCCTGACTATAATATTATATTAATAAGTAATATCTAGTAACAAAATGTTAATAAATTATTCAAATTATTTATACAACTACTTATTAATAATAATCTAGCTAGTTGTACTTTAGTATTTAAATTGTTTTACGGTTAAAATCATAATTGATAAAATGTACCTAATACCAATAAATTTTTGAAATTGCAAACATGATTTATATTATAGATTATTATTTATTTTAAGATTTACACTTCCAACAATTATTATTACCTGCAGTTTTTTTCACACTTGAACCTCCGTCTAGTCTGGTCGCAATAGAGCTTACTCCATCTGAAATGACGAGACATTAAATAATTATTATTAATAGATTGATCAGAATCAATAACAATGGAATGGTGGGATTATAGTTAAAGATCCGTAATTGTGGGTTCGTCAGTGAAAATTAAATGATCAAAAGTAACAATCCTTATTATAACTTTCTATCGACGTTAAAAATATTTATGCGGTATGSCTAAAGTATAAAAATGTTCAACTGTATTTTCTCGGTGATTATACTGATTTAAATTCAAATTAACACAAGTAGGTCATAAGTTTAAAATCACCCACCGGTGGAACAAATGTAGGCGTACTTATACTAGTATGCACGTACGCCTGTGCCTAGTGTGGGACGATGTCCTATGTTCACCGTGGTTTACTCAAATAACAGGATATAAACATAAAAATGTATTATAGTTCATGTGAATATTATTTTGATCTTAGGGGATGCGCGATAGCTCATGTTTTATAGTGTTTTATACTTCTATTTTACTTCTGAGTACTTTAATTTGTACTCCATATCCACATTTAACATTACATTTAATCAATTAAGRTTTCATTTATTTGATAGGTATCTATCATTTTTATTRGTATGGACCATACTTAAAATATATTAAAGTTTAAAAAATATAAAGTTATTAATCATAGTTATGCTATACCAATTTAAATCTCACTGAATTATTCACTATAAAATATAAAGGAGTGTGTTTACATTTTAATAATATTGTAAATTAAAGTTAAGTGTCTTAAAAACTCTATTTTCGATAAATATTTATTCAATTTATCAAATCACATTCGCATTGCTACAAGTTTTAAAACGTATGCTATCGTTTTAAAAAGGTTTTTTTATAACTATATACAAATCAATTTCATATACTTATTTAGTTAGATATAAGTTAGTTAGTTAATATTATTTTTGTAATTCGATTATAATCATTTTTATAATATGTTTTGTAGGATATCCGTAATATAAATAAAATTGTTAGTATTTATTTGTTACTAGGTATATACAAGTAAATTTATAAATGCATATCAAATATTCAAAAATATTAAGCAAAATCAATAAATTATTGGATTAAAATTCTAAAAATATGAAATAATTATGAATTCCAAAAAATAAAATAAGAATATATTATAATATATAGTACATATTACTTTCGGCAAAAAACAATAACACTATTTTTGAAATTTAATACTTCTGGAATAATGCACTGAATATTATTTTTTTTTTTAATTCGTATATTTATATTAAAATAAATAAATATATTATAATTCTACCATCTTTTCGGCAAAATAAATCCAAATGTCTTGGTATAATTGTTTCTTCGAACACAGGATTAGGCATCTCACATATAGGYAGGTACTTAGAATACTGATATTGTGCACTGAATTGTCCGAATATTTACAAAAACAACACCTGACAAGAGAACAACAACTAATGATGACCATAACCTTGTAAGCACAGGTGCACAGTAGGTCGCCTACGAACTTTTTTCCTCTGTGAAGGAGGTGTTGCAGGAGTGGCCCCCCTTCCAAGTTATTGGTATGTGTTTATACGAACATGGTAGATCCGAACTCAATATATAATTACACTATATATTTCAACACATCCTGTAATAATTATTAAGCCTATATATACTATATACTACATACTAKACTCCAACAGTAAACACAGTAGTGCAATAACTAACATTTCAGTAATAAGCTAATTTTACTTCATTGTGTATAGGTATAATGGAAATAACACCATATAAAATTTCTAATTTAAATAAACATAATTACTGATAATATTTTTAAATTTAAAGTTCTTGATGTATTTCCTTTTTCCAGCCATAAATGT